ACTTAAAGCTGCAATAACCTGCCACACTGGCAGCAGTTGGGTAGAGTCTCTTCCTCTTGTCTTATTAGGTATTCGTAGCACCTATAAAGAAGATTTAAAGTCATCTTCTGCTGAATTGCTATATGGAGAACCACTACGTCTGCCAGGAGATTTTTTTCAACCAGGTACAGATAACACAATCGACATGACAGATTATGTAGGACGTCTGCACATGTTCACTAAAAACTTGCAACCGTCTCCAGCTTCGCGTCATGGTCGTTCACGCTCTCCATTCATATTCAAAGACTTGACCACTGCTTCTCATGTCTTCCTTCGCGATGACGCAGGGGCTGGCTCTTTTAAACCAGCATATACCGGACCTCACGAAGTCCTAAAACGAGGTGACAAAGTTTTTAAAATTGCAATAAATGGTAAACCAGTGACTGTCTCGATTGACAGATTAAAACCAGCATACATACTGCGTGATCCAGATACCACAACATTTACACCTCATATCTCAAACAACTCATACTCACACAATCACTCTCATTCGTCTACACATAAAGTATGTGATGACTTACCTGCCACTGATAACATTCCTAAAATTACTAAATCAGGTCGTCGGGTTCAATTTCCAGATTATTATCGCCCGTAGGACGGTCTCTGGAAGGGGGTGATGTAGTGTACCTACATATAAATAAATGTATATGCAAAAGATAAAATAATTGTCAAAGTAAACATTATAAAAAAAATATTATATTTAATTAAATTATATGTACAAATACTCAATAACATAATATATAAAATTGTTTAACATGTTAAATTTAAGAAATAATATTTAATGTATTTGTTTGAATGTGTTACACAAGGACAAACACATCTAGTTTCTTTATATATAATTTTGGCGCTCGCACTAGCTCGGGACGCGGTTACTGCGCAGGCGTGAGACCGCGCGGCGCGGCGTCGCGGCTCGCGCATGCGTGAGGTAGCCCGCGAAATACGAGAGTCGCGTCCACAGATTATTATTATTGAGATGCATGTAGCACGCGTTGTTTTAATTCAAATTTATTGTTCATATTATTAGATGTCAACCTGAAGTAGTTTCATATTTCTTTTTTGCTCACGTTCGCCTTCTTTATTCTACAGCATTGTGTGTACTTTTGTGCTTATCTTTTATTACTTTTTACACATGTGAGTGGTGAATAAAAACTTTAAAAATCCAACATAATTTATTTGGAGTTACATCACCACCGCCTCACTATCTTAATTAAAAATTACTTAAATTATCAAAGAATACAAACATATTATGATAGCTCCTTACAAAATATTGCTATCACATTACAAATCAATAATGAATCCCTATCTATAATTAGTTTCTATAGCCCTTCTTCTGCTACCCCTTCAAATTTTAATTACGTATATTTGGACAATCTAGTGAAATCTGTACCAAATCCTTTAATATTAGCTGGTGACTTTAATGCACATCACACTATGTGGGGTTGTACATCAACTGACACTCGTGGTTCTACTCTGTTGGATGTTATAAATGATAACAATCTATGTCTTTTAAATGATGGATCAGTAACAACAGTTGGTTCCCACAACTGGCGACCAAATGCTTTAGATTTGACAATAGTTTCTCCCACTTTAGCTTTAAGATGTAACTGGCAGGTGCACGATGACCCCTTATGTAGTTACCATCTCCCAGTCCTTACTAGTCTATTACTGAATCCTGTAAATAATAATAATAACAATTGTGGTGTAAATTATTTTAGACCAAATTATAGAACAGTAGATTGGAAAAAATATACTAAATTGGCAGATATAAAACTAAGTGCATGTGCTTTTGATAAAAACAATCCAGATGTGTGTTATGAGATGCTAATTAATAATTTACTACAATGTGTATCTGATGCAAATCTTTCAACTAAAAAATCATTTCAAAATATACAATACAAAAATAAAAAGAAATTAAATCTGCCCTGGTGGAATGATATTTGCAAAAAGGCTGTGGATAGTTGTAAAAATGTTTATATACAATTTAAACTAAACCCTACTGAACAAAATTACATTTTATTTAAAAGTAAGCAAGCACAAAAGAAACTTATTATTAAACAAGAAAGACAAAAGGCATGGTCGGATCTTTGTAATACTTTTAGTCGTCATACTCCTTTGTCAACTATTTGGACTAACCTTAGAAAATTTAATAAAACCTACATTCCTTCATCCAGTGGCATGAACAACAACAACTGGATACAGGCATTCTTAGATAAATACACATCTAATACTAATAGTCAAACTTTAAGTGACAGTATTTGTAATCACATATCAAATGTTGACAATTTTTTTATGAAATCATTTACACTTAATGAACTGTTAAGTGCCATTCATTCTCGAAAGGATACAGCTTTTGGTCTAGATAATATCTCATATAAAATGTTTAAAAATCTCAATTCATCCAGTTTACAAATTGTTCTTAATATTTTCAATCTACTATGGCATAATTTAATAATCCCCAAATCTTGGAAAGTTGATTGTCTTATTCCTATTCTTAAACCAGGAAAAAGTAGTGGTCATCATGACTCCTACCGACCAATAGCATTAACATCCTGTGCAGGAAAATTATTTGAGCAGTTATTGAAGCAAAGACTTGAGTACTATATAGAACATAATCATTTAATATCTTATAATCAATTTGGCTTTAGAAAAGGGCGATCAGCTGTTGAAAGCTTGAGTCACTTATACCTTGATATAAATAATGCTTTTTCTAAGAATAATTTCTTAATTTGTGTTTTCTTTGACATAACAGGTGCCTTCAATAATGTCGACCATCTTGTTTTAGTAAATGAATTAGCATCTCTTGGGTTACCTGCAAAATTAATCAAATGGATTTTTAATTTCTTAAACAACCGTAAAGTTTATGTCAGGTTTAAAAATAATTTATTTGGTCCACAGCAGTCAAACAAAGGTGTTTGCCAAGGAGGAATATTAAGTCCCTTATTATTTATTTTGTACATTTACAAATTAAATAATGTTTTAGGTAATGAAATATGTAATCTCCAATTTGCTGATGACCTCACAGTCTACTGTGCTGGCAAAAGTATTCAAGAAATTGAAAAAAAACTTAATACTGCATTGGTAAAATTGAAAGCTTACTTTGATTACTTGAAATTAGAAGTTAACCAAAATAAAACTAGTGTGGTAGTATTCAATAAATCTAAAATGTTACTTACCAACATCCTTTATAATGGTATCTCACTTCCAGTTAGTGAAGAAGCAAAATTTTTAGGAGTTACATTTATGAGAAATTTATCATGGGTCAAACATGTTTCAGTTTTAGCAGACAGAGCATTAAAAGCATTCAACATCTTGAAATCATTGGCTTCCACTTATTGGGGTGCTGATCCAAAAATCTTGTTAATGTTATATAAATCTATAGTTCGTGCTCACTTTGAGTACAGCTTTATGTGTTACTCCTCCAATCATCATCTCATTGATAAACTGGAAAAAATCCAAAATAAAAACCTTAGACTCATCACAGGTGCAATGAACACAACACCTATAATATCTATGCAAATAGAATGTAATATTCCCCCTCTATTAATAAGATTCAAATATTTAAAATTTAAGTTTATAGTTAAGCTCTATAGAATAAACAATCAACCGCTTTTAAATAAATTACGTCAGAATCTACCCCAAATAACATCTTCATCAAATTCTAAATATCCATATATTTTACATGATCTCAATGAAACAATAACATTTATTAATCAATATAATATTTATTCTGATGAACATTGGGCTTGCTATAGTGGCTCATATGAAAGCAAATTTACCTCAATTGAAACGGTTATAAACACCGCATTGCAAACAAAACAAGATGTTTATGAAATGTTAAATACCTGGCCAGAACACGAAGTAATTTACACTGATGGTTCGAAAAGTGAATTTGGAGTCTCAGCAGCATTTTATCATAGTAAAATGAAATATGGCAAAGGCTACCGTTTACCACCTATCCTCAGTATATTTTCGGCTGAAGCAATGGCAATTTTATTGGCTTTACAATATATTGAAACTGACATTATCTGTTCTAACAAAAACAATTTTCTTATAGTCTCCGACAGTATGTCTGTACTTAAAGCCCTTAATCGCTCAGGTTTTGAAAATAATAATTATTTACTTTATGAAATCAGAGAAATTTTAAACAAACTGACAATGACAAAACAAAAAGACGTAAAATTTATATGGACGCGAGCACATGTTGGTGTGGCGGGTAACGAAAAAGTCGATTTCCTTGCCCGTCTAACAAACACAACGGGAGGTAATATAAAAGATATACCTGTTTCTTGGCAAGATTTGTTACCTGAATATAGTAATAAAATTAATCAGCAATGGAATGAAGAAAATGTCATAATAACTCAGTCAAAAGGAACCTGGTATGCAAGCATTAATAAAGAAGTTGGACGAAAACCATGGTTTGCCGTCTCCAAGGACTATCTGCAAAGGAAATTTTATACGCAAATAACCAGATTGCGTTTTGGACATTGTAGGTCTAAGGCTCACTTGCACCGTATGCGCATTATAACATCCCCGATTTGCACTGAATGTTCATTACAAGAAGATCAATCGTTGGAACACATTTTCTTCACATGTCCTGCATTCAATTTACAACGTTTACTACTAATAGATCAGCTTTTAGACACTTCCAAGACCATCCCGCCCTCTCTTCAAGAAATTCTATCACACCCAGAAAACTTCATTCCTGTTTATAATTTTATTAATTCTACTGTTGGAGAAATTTAACCAATATTACAGACTTGATGCGTACATAAAATAAAAGAAAAGAAATAAACACGTAAGATCTGGCAGTATGGCTCAATCGCCTTCGCCTGTCCTTAGCGGACGAAGTTTACTACTACTCAAAGAGTAGTATAATATATAGGGAAAGTAGAACGTCTAAGTGAATATATCTCTTAGGTGGAATTTATACTACGTGTTAAAATAAACCGAAATAAGTAGAAATGGAGATCGATAAAGAAAATGTGGTGCAAGCGGTTGTTATAATGGATACTTTCAATAATAATTTCAGCCCTATAACTACCAATAGTCCTTTTGTGAGTAATAATTATTTAATGGACATAATATTTATTTAAATGAACAAATGTTGACTTATTGATATAAAAAACTTTCAGGCCTTATTATCGGTAGCTGGAGTGCCACTTATTGATTACGTCCTTGAAAGCTTAGCTCTTGGCGGTGTGGGTGAAACAATCTTATTTTGTTGTGAAAATGGACCTAAAATTAAGGAATATCTAAAGTAACAAATTGTTCTAATTATTAACAATCATATTGAAAGATTGTTTATTATATTTATCTCTAATTTATATGAGAAATCGATTTAAAATTTAATATGAATTATAGATTGAAAAAAGAAGAGAAATTACCATGGTCCCTAACTATGGACATCCAAGTTTTGATGTCCGATACTTGTCAAACAATGGGTGATGTGATGCGAGAAATAGATGCAGCTGGCCTTGTGAGAGGTTATTTCATATTAATGGGAGTGAACAGTATATCCAATATCAATTATGCTGTGCTGTTGGAACAACATAAGTACCTGCTTAGTTTAAAGTTTTAATATTTTATAGCCCCATCAGTAGTGTTGTTTCCATATACTGTTTTATTTTACAGACAAACATGTAAAAAAGATAAAGGAGCTGCAATGACATTGGTTTATAAAAAAGTATCCTGGCAGCATCCTATAACTAGATCTGACAAGCCAATATTTTTAGCTGCAGACGCTAACACCAGAAAAATATTGATGCATAAAAAATATAAAGCCAAATCATCTGATAAAATTATAAATTTGCCGTTGGTAAGCTTTCATAAATAATGTTACTTATTATGTTTGTTGTGATGAAATGCTTTTTAGATTGTGTCTGTATTAATTGTCAATAATAATTACATTTTAATTTTAGGATATAGTGTTGAATCATTCTGAAGTTAAATTGCATCATAATCTGGTTGATGCAAACATTGCTCTATGCTCTCCATCAGTACCACCATTGTTTTCTGATAACTTTGATTTCCAAACAAGAGATGATTTCATTCATGGTATTTTGATAAATGAGGAAATTCTGGCCAGTTGTCTATATTATACTTTATTGAAAAGAGATGAATACACAGCTGCAGTAACAAATTGGAAAACATATCAAGTTATTTGGTAATAATTTGCTTAGGTACACAATTATAATGTCTAATTACCATGGTTATCATTTGATTTTATTTTTCAGTCGTGACATAATTCATAACTGGGCACATCCACTATCAATAGAAACTGGCACATTTTATCAAAATAATTTTGTTTTCATGGGAAATCATAATTTTCGAAGTATAAATTCAACACTCAGCAGGTGACTCACTGCTTTATTTATTATAATTTTATAAATTAAGCATTTTAACAAACTATTTTGCTTGTATTAATTTCAGATCTTGTACACTGACTGAAGATGTTTTGATAGGTGCTAATGCTCACATTAGTGACAATGCAATTTTAACAAAGTCTGTAATTGGAAAGAATTGTGTGATTGGCAGTAATGTAGTCATAACAGGAAGTTACATAATGGACAATGTAACAGTTAAAGAAAATTGTAAAATATTTAATAGCTATATTGAACATGATTCTCTGATAGAAGAAAAATCTGTTTTAGAAGGTACTATTATAGCTTCAAATGTTAATATAAAGGCAGAAAGCAATTTAAAAGGCAGTATTGTTGAAAGTTCTGTTGCTGACAAAGGTAAGATTTTGATCTAAATAAGCTCCCCAAAAATTTGTGTGATGTAGTAGTATAGTTGATGTACATTTCAGAGAAAACATTATCTAAATCCACTTCAGAAAATGAATGGGAAAATGAGTCTGTTAACAGTGAAGATGATGAATTTATTGGTTTGGATAAGGAATGGAGTGACAGTGATTCATGTTATTCAACTGACAGTAGTGAGCCTACATCTTTATCAGATTCACCAGTACCAGATGATACTAACAGTAAGTTAAAATTATTTTTGTTTGTATTAAAATTTGTGTTTTATACACACTTATTTATGTATAGAAGTTGTACTTCAATTTAAAAACATCTTAAAACATATTTTTCAGTGTTCCTTCAAGAAGTTATAGATAGTTTGGCTCGGGGCTATGAGGAAAAATTGAAGTGTGATTACTTAATATTAGAAATTAATTCTTCAAGATATGCATACAATATTCAGCTAAATGAAGTTAATTTCTTTGTTGTGAAAGCTCTGCTAAGTATACCAATACTCACAGAAACAAAGAGTGTATTATCTACTATTAAAGACATTTGGAAATACTTCCAGCCAGTTATATCAAATTATATAAAAACAAAATCTTCTATTATGGACTGTTTAAGAGCTGTTGAAGTAAGTTCAATATATACAATTGTTCTTTGAAATCATCATTTAGTTTGTAATTTTCTAAATACTATTTTATTTTATTTTTACAGGATAGTTGTTTAAAAAGTTTGTGGCTTGAAGGTAAAGCTGGACAAATTATCCATCTTTTATATGATGCTGATGTTGTTGATGAGGACTCATTATTAGAGTGGTATAAGGAACTACAAGAATATAAAAGTCCTTTGGTTGGCCAGTCTTCTGTTGTAAAATTTTTTGAATGGCTTCAGGAAGCCAGTGAAGAATCAGATTAAAAGTTAAATTTTTAACACATTTTAATAAATAATTTAATTATTGATATTGATTTCATTATGGTAATCACTATACAAAATTAACGAATAGTAGCATATTGTTGAAACTGCACAGTAGAGAAATTCCTAAACTTATTTATGTCGAATGAAGTGGGTTCACAAGGTGAATGGACTTTGATTTGTCTCATATGCGTATCTCTTCCATTTTGATGATTGCTTAAAACTGCTATCTGTATCATGTAGGTTCTAATGGGTCTATCATGTATGTCTTTGATTGGTATCATTTCCCAACCTGAAATATGTTAGTGTTAATTAATATTGCAGATATATGAATTCTATACAAATTTTAGTTTTAAATTCTTCCTTACCACTTGGTTCTATTAATTCTATTACTTCTATTTCTTGAAGGTCATTAAAATGGGTTCCTGCACGAATAGATATTCTACTTGGAGTGTAACTTTCATCCAGTTTATAATCTGTATAAATATAAATATGTGAAACCATGGTTTTCCTTTGAAATTGGATATTAACTAGATGTGGCAATTGTCCATCAGACTGCCAGTAAGTGTCCATACAATCATCCCTTAGCTGATCAATACCAAATCCTGTAAGGGAACAAAAATATAAAAGGTCGAAAAATGCTTATTTTATATTATAAACATATGAATTTGAAAAGCCTGCCTGGTTTACAAGAAGATAAACTCCAAATAGCATGATTTCCGACTTCCCGCACAGTGCCAGATCTTTCACTAACTAACGGATCTTTTTCAGAAGCCATTTCACTTTTGTCACTTCGTGAATGAAAAGCACAAATGTGCAAAAAAATTAAAATTATTCAATAAAAACGTAGGTAAAGTACTCTATTCTGTTGTTGACTTTTTTTTGTATAATATGGCAGGTACGGCTTGTTGTTGATTGGTGGTTTTAGGATCGGGCAATAAATATCGATATATCAAAATATCGATATTTTTACTTAACAAAAAACAAATCGATATGAATAAGCGATATTTTTTTCCCCGATATATATCGCCTTGTGATATTTATTTTTAGATATCAAATTCGTACCAAAATCGATATATATAAATATATATATATATATATATTTAAGTTCTGCTGCAGTAGGCTGTATAAGTTTAGTTTTTCAAACATTAACAAAGTTACAGTCTATGATCTGTTTGTCTATGACACTGCTTGTTGATTTGGTTGTTATCACTGAGATATCAGATAAATACTGGATTGTTTGAATAATGTCTTTTTTGTTGTGTTAATGATGTTGTTTTTTTTGGCTTTATGTTCCTATTTTGAATAATTAAACTTATGTCAAAACAGCCAGGTGTTTGCCAGCCAGGTGGTGGTGTATTTGCTTTACGATTTCGAATATCTTGAGATATTTTATAGATAATCACTTATCGCGCAGAAAATATTGATAAATCAACATATCGCTATTTTTTAGTTAATATTGATCGATACGTTTGAAAAACATCAATACGATATGTATCGATATTTTTTTCCATTTGCTCGTCTCTATTGTGTTTGGTTTGTGACCACAATTTTTTTTTGTTAGGCCTTGTTCCATTATGCCAGAAATTTTGCCAAGACCCCCATTTGATGATTTGAATATAGGAAAAATGAGGAAGTATTAAAGAAAAGAAATTCATTAAAAGATGGAGGCTCTCCACTAAATAGCAATCCTAGCAAAAGTTGATTTTTACAGGAAACGAATCGACCAAAGATAGTCATTTCCGTTCCTTTTAAATAATGTTAGTTATTATGAGGAAGTATTTAAAAAAAATAAAGAAACTACAAAAGTTTATGTTACCAGATGGCAGTACCAACTATAGGATCTAAATGTCAATGAGGAAGTATTTAAAAAACAAAAATTAGTTCTTGAAAATATACTAGATGTCACTAGCGATGTTTGGATATTGTCTATGATATTCATTCAAATTTTATTTCTGGTGTAATAAAAGTAAATTGAGTACTATCGAAAATTAATAAATATGACATCGTTTCGTTTTTTTTTTATAATATCTAACTTTCAAATTAATTTTAATTTATTTGAATCGTAAGTTTAAGTTATTTATTATGTTGCGTGTAAAAGAACGATGCTTGGTTTATATGTCAGCATTAGTGATGAGCCAACGAATTGATTGCTTGTATCTTCAATAGACTCGATTCATCTGAAATCGGGTTTGGAATCAAGAAAGTAAAGCTGAGTGCAAAATTCATCCTGTTTTTTTTTATGTGCATACTGCACATAAAAAATATGTGCCATTCCATATGTGCCATTATGCATCCACACGTCGAATTATATTAATATAAATATCAAAATCAATTCAGTCTAGGCTGTTACGTAGTACTGGTGAAAGACGAAAACTTTGTCAACGGTTCGAAAAACTAAGGCGGGAGATCTTTTACTTTTACTTTCAGTAAGGGCTGCATTTTTCACCCTGTATCATTTCACACTTTCCATTCCATGTAACTTTCCATTAAAATATAACAAATTCTACATACGCATTGACAAAACAATGTATTCATTATAAATGAAAATGGATGAAATTAAGTAGTCCAGTGCAGATTCATCCCCACTGGCAACACCCGTTGACGAACTTGACGCATGAGCCAGCCATCGCTTCGCTCAACTATATTTGAACGAACTTAACGACCTGACGCACACGACACCACCACAGAGATTTTTAAGAGAGCATGACTAGTCTATGTACTTCATTTAGTAATATATTTCAATTAAACTGATTTCTAGAGTAGTAACCAAATAAGCACATACCCACCGTACAAATTAATACAACACCTGGCTCGACGTCCGCCGTCGACATGCAAGTTCATTAGCAATAGTACTGTTCAATGCAGAATGAACAAAAATTCTTTTGCATAGCAAAAAATTGATTTAAAAAGTTTTGCCGTTTTTGGCGGTCTTCTCGAACTTCTAATTTTGAGACGCGTGTGGGCTATAGCCACAAATATTAAATTAATTATTATTAAGTAGTCTTAAAGGCTAAATATTACAAATTATAAATGAATATAATGTACACAAGGTGTGTAAATAATAAATTCTTTCTTATGTTTACAAGTGCGATGTTTTTATTTTATAATTAGTGAACTCAAGAAACGACCTATGGAAAATAAATTAACATTGAGCGTCGCACACAACAAGTACTATATGTGTCTTTGTCATTTTGAAATTTCTATTCGTAACCTTCTTGTTTGTTTCGAACGAAAGTTTGTTATTAATTTCTGAATTTTGATTAAGAGAATTTAATTATGAATATTAGACTTAAAAACTGACCATAGCTTTTTTAAATTCTTAATTTCGAAAGGACAACTTGTTTACACGTTATATTTTGCACAAACGTCATTCTAGCCAGAAGTCTTGTTAATTTGCTAGTACATTTGATACATAGTGGGCAAGTATATAGATAATAAACGGATTTTTTATTATAATTATCATTTCTGTGACCTTTGTTGCTAATTAATAAAACCTATTCATTAATTCACTACACACATTATAAAAATATTATTAAGACTTGATGTAGTTTTGTTGCTGTAGGTCCAACAAACAACTAATAGCAATAAAACTAACTTACCTAGTGGTTATTGTTTTCAGAAATTTTGTTAAATATTATAATGAAAAATATCTAGACCTACTATGGCATAAGTATTTTATTTTAAGTATTAAATGCCACTTTAATAATTTCACAGTATTAATTCCATTGATTTCAATAATTTTTAAAAAACCTCTATGCTCACTTCCATTACATTCGTTTCCATTTTTCTTTATACAAATAAAAAATAAATATATTCAAAGATAAGTTTGTATTAATAGAGTTCCGTTTGCGTAACTCGAACTTATGAGGAAGTACTAAAAAATAACATTAGTTCCCGAAATCAAACAGATGTCGTTACGGTACTTTCTTGATTTCTCCATGACAACCCTTCCGGTTTTCTTTCATGTATAAAGTAAATTAATTTTCAAAACTCAATAAACAAATCATATTCTAATTGTACTTTTTTTGTATTCATATCTAAGTTTCGAACTTTGCAAATATCAGTTTTTTAATATGTTAGTTAAAAAGAACAGAAATGACTATCTTTGTTCCATTCGTTTCCTGCAAAATCCACTTTAGCTAGAGTCGCCATCTAGTTAGGTGCTTTTAGGTCATCGAATTTTAATGAGGAAGTATTTAAAAAAATAAAGAAACTACAAAAATTGATGTCACTAGATGGCCACACAAATTGTTGGATCTAAACGTCAATTCATGACGTCGAACCAAAGAGAATAGAATTGTCAGTGTTGTATGGATCTTATAACTCGAATTAATATCGAGTTGAAATTTAATTAGTTATGCAATTGCAACTCGATTAATACAAAGTAATCTTTGAATAAATTTTTTTTTTATTTGTATAGAGGAAAATGGAAACTAACATAATGGAAGTGAACTTATGCCATAGTAGGTCTAGGAATTTTTCATTATAATATTTAACATAAGTTCTGAAAACAATAACAACTAGGTAAGTTAGTTTTATTGCTATTAGTTGTTTGTTGAACTTACATTAACAAAACTACATCAAGTTTCAATAATATTTTTATATTATGAATGAATGAATAGGATTTATTAATCAGCAATATAAGTCATAAAAACGATAATTATAGTTAAAAATCCGTTTACTATCTATATACTTACCCGATATGTATACTAGGGATACTAGGGATAATAATATACTAGGGATTCGTACAAAATAACATGACTTCTGGCTAAAATGACGTTTGTGCAAAGTGTAACGTGCAAATAATTTGTGATTTCGAAATTCATCATCATCATCATCAGCCCTTTAACGTCCCCACTGCAGGGGCTCAGACCTTCCTTATGGATGGTTAAGGAGGATGGGCCATGACCCTCCACGCTGGCCCAATGCGGATTGGAGGGTATTAACGACTGCAAATGCAGCCGGGACCAACGGCTTAACGTGCCTTCCGAAGCACGGAGTAGCACGAGATAATATTTTTTTTGGTCACCCATCCCGTGACCGACCCATGCGAAAGTTGCTTAACGACTACGATCGCGGGCCGCGGCGCTTATCCACTACGCCACCGAAATTAAAATAAGACTTTAAAAAGCTATAATCAGTTATTAAATCTTATATTCATAATTAAATCATCTTAATAAACATTCAGCAGTCAACAAGAAACGTCTGTTCTAAACGAACAGCAATATTATATATTTTTTTAATTTCAAAATCACAATGACACGTACTGTTGCTACTGATCTTGCATGTAGACGGCGGACGTCGAGTCACGTGTTAAGTTAATTCGTACGGTGGGTATGTGCTTTTTGGTTCTTACAATAATATTGTTAATAATAGTCTTCTTATACAACCTACTCTAGAAATCAGTTCTATTGAAATATATTATTTACTAAGTACCTAGAGTAGTCATGCTCTCTTAAAAATCTCTGCGGTTGTGTCGTGTGCATTAGGCCGCTGCGTTCCCTCAAATATAGTATAGTTGAAATTAAAAAAGTAGCCCTTGCTGAGTTTCTTGCCGATTCTTGTCAGTACAAGATCTTCCGCTTTAGTTTTGCAAACCAAAGCTTTCGACTTTCACAAGTACTATGTAACAGCCTAGACTGAATTAATTTGGATATTTATATTAATATCTTTCGTTTTGTTGATGCATAATGTCACATACAAATACAAGCTGAATTCTGCGCTCCGCTTTTTGTTCTTCGTTGCAAACCTGAATTCGGATGTTATGACCAACCAATAAGTCATCATTAATGTTGACGTATCAACCAAACATCGTTCCTTTATACCTAACATAATAAACAACTTAAACTTACGATTAAAATAAATTAAAATTGATTTGAAAGTTA